AGGGACCCAAAAAGGAGTCCCCCACATGTCCGAGCCGCTGATGTGGATGTCCAGTGCCTGCCTAGCAAGCCGCAGCACGTCCATTACCTGGGTTGCTGTTAAGGAACTTAAATTAAGTTACTATATTGGGTAAACCCTATTATTTACTATATATACCCATTATGGTAACTTAATTTAACCCTAAACCCATTGGGTAACTTAATTTAAGTTCCTTAACAGCAACCCAGACATCCGGAGGCATTGGAGGCGCTTCGGGCAGTTTGTCTCCGGTAGAGGCCTGGGCCCTTTGCAGTTATCTTGAAATGAGCTATAATCTAAACTCCTTAAAAGGGGTTATATAGGGGTTTAGGGTTTAGGGTCTAAACTCCTTAAAGGGAGATATATAGGGGAATATATAGGAGACTACTATAGGGGTTATTTAGGGGGATACTAGGAGTTTAGACTAAAATTGTGGATGGCACCTGAGACCCATGAACGGATCCAAGATGCTAGCCGTCCCCAAGTAGGGGAAAATTAAGGGATGATTCTTCATGGGTTTAGGGTTTAGGGTTTAGGGGTTTAAGGTTTAGGGTTTAGGGGATGGCGTTTTTTGGGATAATGTTCAGGGAGCCTCAGCTGTAAGAGCTTGAGCTGATATGGCTGGTTGTCAAAATTATGGTCCCTTTTTGGATCCCTACTATAATACGGCACCTAATATTTAGGGTACCCAACAAGGGACCACAATTTTGACAACCACCCATGTATTCACTTGACCTTAAGTAATTTGTTACCAAGGCGCCTTCATCATCTCGGCAGGCCGCCGATGAGGCAAGGATGCTATGTTCACTTGAGCCATAGTCTAAACTCCCTAAAGCGGGTTATGTAGGGTTGAGGGTCTAAAGGGGGGTTATATAGGGTCTAGGGAGGTTTTAGGTTTACGGTTGAGGGTCTAAGTGGGGTTATGTAGGGTTCAGGGTTTAGGGTATAAAAACCTTAAAGGGGGTTGTATACGTGATTATTCTGTTAAGTATTTTAGGAGTTATTATGGGGAGTACTCGGAGTTTAGACTATGGCTCGTTTGGCGGGTTGCCAATGTACATGTTCA